CATGCGCTCTATGTGGGGCTTCCCTTGCGCTTGATCCTGAAGCTGCGGTTAGAGCAGGATGCTGCAGAACGATTGCTGACAGCAGGGAGGCCTTGTCGGCGTATGGCAGCTGTGCTCAGAGACCAGCACCGGCTGCCGATTCCTGCTGGGCCAAACTCACCTCCTGCCTGTTTCCATGAGACTTGCACAGGAGAGGTTGAATCCTGACAAGACAGAAGTACTGATTTGGGAGACAGCGGGCGGGCGGGTGTGGAGGACTCCCTGGTCCTGAATGGGGCAACTGTGCCCCTGAAGGACCAGGTGCGCAGCCTGGGAGTCATTTTGGACTCACTGCTGTCCATGGAGGGGCAGGTCAGTTCTGTGTCCAGGGCAGCTGTCTCCCAGCTCCATCTGGTACACAGGATGAGACCCTATCTGCCTGCGGACTGTCTGGCCAGAGTGGTGCACGCTCTGGTTATCTCCCGCTTGGACTACTGCCATGTGCTCTACATGGGGCTACCTTTGAAGGTGAGCCGGAAACTGCAATTAATCCAGAATGCGGCAGCCAGACTGGGGACTGGGAGCGGCTTCCGAGACCACATAACACCGGTCCTGAGAGATCTGCATTGGCTCCAAGTACGTTTCCGAGCAAAATTCAAAGTGTTGGTGCTGACCTTGAAAGCCCTAAACGGCCTCTGTCCTGTATACCTGAAGGAGCGTCTCCACCCCCATCGTTCTACCCAGACACTGAGGTCCAGCACAGAGGTTCCCTCACTGAGAGAATCCAAGTTACAGGGAACCAGGCAGAGGGCCTTCTCGGTAGTGGCGCCCTGCCCTGTGGAACTCCCTTCCACCAGATGTCAAAGACCACAACAACTACCAGACTTTTAGAAGACATCTGAAGGCAGCCCTGTTTAGGGAAGCTTTTAATGTTTGATGTATTACAGTATTTTAATATTTTTTTGGAAGCCGCCCAGAGTGGCTGGGGAATAAATGTTCCCAGATGGGCAGGGTATAAATAATAAATTATTATTATTATTAGAGACCCCCAGCCTGCTGGGCCCAACTCTGCCACGACCCACAATTTTCTGCCTGCAGAAACTTTATGCGCAGACCTGCCTATCCAAAAGGTAACCTAGCAAACCCGCCCGGAACTTGGCAGCCGTTCTGGAGTACAGTTTTTAATCCTTATTTGTCCCTGAGCGGAGAGTTTCTGGGAGAAAACGCGTAATGTACACATCCGTCCCTGGTGGAGGGAGAACCCAGCACCAGGAAAACCTCTACCAAAACAGGATAGACTCCCGGTATCCGTAGTAAAAGTTTGCTTAATCCCGGCACCTTTGATATGAAAAAAACGGCAGCAGGGGGCAAAAAGTCGCCTTCCTGTGAAGGATGAGCAAATTGTGGCTTCGAAACCCCTTGTCTACCCTCTGCAAAGGGAAAGTGTAGAGGCACATTCTGGATCTGAGACTTGGGGCAACTCCCACCCCATCCATGTGCAGCTCCCCCAAGGGAGGAAAAATGGGATGGTTTGGCGCACGAGACGGTGGTACAGATTCATCACCAGGATGCAGCTGCCCTGAGAGGCTTTGTTAGGCCAGGAAACAGAGCAGGGTGGGTTCCCTTAACCATTCTTTTTTCGGAGAAAGCAGAAGTCTTTCGGATGGGCAGAAAGTTGGGCTTGCAGCTGGCTTGGGCGCTGCTGAGTTTGTGTGTGTGTGTGTGTGTGTGTGTGTTTGGCCACTGGCGCATGCAAGGAACGCCGTACTCAGAGCACCAGCTGCCGCCAAAGCAGGCCCTATCTGCGTTATACTGCAGTGGGTTTAGTGGGGAGCGGGTCAGTCTGGATGATGCCCTGGGTTCCCTTCCCATTCTTGCAGCCCGAGAGCGGAGGTCAGGCTGTGGAACTCGCTGCCACTGGAGGCAGGGAGCGCTGGCAACCTGGGGTTGCGGCGCTCATCTCGCTTTATTGGCCGAGGGAGCCGGCGTACAGCTTCCGGGTCATGTGGCCAGCAGGACTAAGCCGCTTCTGGCGAACCAGAGCAGCGCACGGAAACGCCATTTACCTTCCCGCCGGAGCGGTACCTATTTATCTACTTGCACTTCATACTTTCAAACTGCTAGGTGGGCAGGAGCAGGGACTGAGCAAGGGGAGCTCACCCCGTCGCGGGGATTTGAACAGCCGACCTTCTGACCGGCAAGTCCTAGGCTCTGTGGTTTAACCCACAGCACCACCCGCGTCCCCTTTGGGTATGTGTAACGGCATTTAAATTCATAACAATGCCTAATTCATAACAATCGTTTTTATTTTCTCTTTAAATCTGCTGATTCCAAATAGGGGAGACGTATTCTTGCTTTAAGGCTTTCCCCAGCCCCAACCCAACGGAAGCCGAGTAGCAAATTTCTAACGGTAAATTACTGGCCTACCCAACAAGACAGGTTTTTTTATTTTAAAATCCCCATTCAAGATGTTCGAGAAACGGCGAACGATCGCCGGACAACTTTAGCTTTATTGAAACAATGCAAGGATATAAAGTTTGGCGACCTTACAAAGAGATTGTTTTGTTGCAGGCGTGTGTGAATAAATACATATAGATATATTTCAAAATCCAGACAGACCCTTGTATCTTTCTGCCCCCCCTCCAAACTTTACCCAGACCAAAAGGGAACCAGCCCGATTGATCCAATTCCTGGCACTGAAAGCCACAATTCCACGACATGCCCCTTTGCCCAGACACCAGGGGCGCCTTCAAAAAGCGCACCTTTCGAACCCAGGTCTTCAGGGATCAGGCACCGACCGACATTCATTTTCCACTTGGGAGGGGGGTGTCGTCTTCAGCCCCATGTCAACGCAGAACGTTCTTTCCTCTCTCACCGGAGGGGAGGCCTTTTCCTAATAACTCCCTTTAAAAATGGAAATCATCTCATTTCCTGAAAACTGATGCATGCATGCAAAGAAAAAGGAAAAAGCAAAACCTGGAGGAGGCAGGCTGGTGCTTTCTCAAGGCGTTTCCTATTGTTCATTAGCTTTTTCCTCTCTTTCTGAGGTTCCAGACCTCTTCTAGAAACTTCTGGAAAGTTCTTAGGCTGAGGTTCCCGACCTCGCTGCATCCCCCACTTCCTTTCTGCTCCTGCCTGGCTCAATTCCAGATAAGGTTCTTTGAATATGGCTTCGTCCACACCATCCTTTCAAAGCGCTTTGATTCCACTTTAAACCGCCGGCGCTTCCCCCGAGGAATTATGGGAACTGACACCCAAGGGTGCCGAGAAGGCCATACATCCGGATTTTCCCGGGATTCCAATGACGAAATTAAGTATCCGGGGAAATCTGGGCTCAACAACTTTAGAAAAGCTTTTTGTATCCAGATTTTTACTTCTTGAAATATGGGACCTTAACTTATCCGCCCCCCCTACAGAGGCATGATTCCCAGAATCCCCTGGGAAGAGGGATTGATGGTTAAAGCACTCTGGGAACTGTAGTACTACGAGGGGCAGGTGGGGGATCTCCCCTCAACACTCGTAGCAAGCTATAGCTCCCAGGACTCCCATGAGAGTCAATCCCACCTCCCAGGGAATTCTGGGAACTGTTGCTCTGTGGGAAGAATAGAAGGCTCCCCTAACAACTCTCGGTGCCATGAACAAACTACAGTTCCCATGATTCTCTGGGGGAAGCCGTGGCTGTTTAAAGTGGTATCGCACAGCGCTTTAATGGTACGGGATAGAAGCAGCCCACGCGACCTGCAACGTCTCTTCGATGTTAAGAGGAAGATCGGCAAACAAAGCAGCGTCACATTCGGAAGAAGGAAACAGCAGCAATAATAATAATAATAATCAAGAATAACAATGGAGCACAATAGGAACAGACAAGACAGATTTGGCCAGCAAAATAACACATTTAGAAAGAGCAAAGTACACTGCACATAACGTTAAAAAAACAAAATGAAGTCAAACAATGATTCTAATAAACTCCTCTTAACTCTAGCTTATGTCCTGTGGAGGAGAAAAGCAGAGTCCATAGCTAGGGTGTGGGGTCAGTAGCAGGGATCCCTGCTTTGCATGCAGAAGGTTCTGGGTTCGAATCTCCGCCTGTCAGGAGCAAGGGAAAGTCTGCCTGAGAGACTCTGCTGGTCAAAGGAGTCAAGTACTGGGCTGAATGTGCCCCAGAGGATTCTGGGAATCCACAGTCCCCAAAGCATCTTGGGAATCCATAGCAGTGGCCCCCCTCTAGTGAATAATGGGAGGGAACTCTAGTTTGTTCAGGATTTGATCATTGCTAACGAGCCACGCTACAACTCCCAGCAGCCCCTAACAAATTACACCATGTGGTATTAAGGCCACCCCATAAAGCACACCAGAGCAAATTCTTTTCCCCAAAGAATTCTGGGCACTGTAGTTTTTAACCCCTCGCAGTCTCAGCAAACTACAGTTCCCAGAATCCTTTGGGGGAAAGGGCGTGCTTTAAAGGGACGGTGCATTTATGCAGCCCGAGAGGTGTATAGCAAGTGTAACAGCTTTTTCTGCTCCTAATTCGCAGACTTTCTCACCTGCCTTACACCTCTGCTCCTTCAAGCACCGAATTTTTGCGCTGCTTCCCAGGCGGAGCAAAAAGGAACATATAAACTAAGAAGGCAAGAGACTGGATGTGGCTTGGAAATTCTGCTTTTACTATCACAGCTCTGCCTGCAGAGCCGTACATCAGCTTTTGGGGTTTCTTCTCTAACCCCCAAGAGGGGAGTAGCGCCTAGTGGGTTTATATCTTGGGAGATGGGGGCATGAAGCAAGAATGTTTGCTCAATATCTCCCCCGCCCTGATTCTGAATAATAATTAGCTCTCAATTTAAACATTCGAAACTTGCCGAATTATCTAAATTCAGGGTTTGGATCTGGCAGACGTCTGAATGTTTCTTTTTATATATATAATTATTTGCAGGAACCTCTTTAAATAATGAAAAAATGCAGTCACCCAGAATGCATAGCTGCCAATGTTTTCCTTTCTTAAAATTCCCTTATTCCGAATAGGATTCCTCGCGAGAAAAGTTGACAGCTATGCAAGAATGTGACGCGCGCCATTTAGGGCGTCGGATATTCTGAGTTTCAGACACCGAAAAGGTCCAGCTCTCAGGTGCAGGATAGGGAAGATTCCACTCAGATACCTGAGCGCAGAATCCGCCGGTCGGCGGATTTGTGGATCCGGCCGAAACCGCGCAACACGCTCCCTGCTCAGCAGAGACCAGCGTAAGGCCCTTCAAGGACTTTGTAGCGGATCTTCGTGTTGGTGATGGCGCCGTGTTTCTGTCGCAGGTGCAGCCGCAACTGGCTCTTGTGGCGGAAGCGGACGTCACATTTCTCGCACTGCGGAGAGCAGACAGGTGTCAAGGTGGGCGCCTCCGTCCCAGAGTGCTGCAGGTCGGCTTTCCCCAACCCGGTGCCCCACAGAGGACCTTAAGGTCCATGAATAACCACAGTTTAGGAGTCCTGGGCCCTAAGGAAGCCAGACTATCCTCCACCACGGCCAGAGCCTTCTCAGTGGTGGCTCCGACCTGGTGGAATGCTCTGTCCCAGGAGACCAGGGCCCTGCAGGATTTAACCTCCTTCCACTGGGCCTGTAAGACAGAGCTATTCCGCCTGGCCTTTAATTTGAATTCAGCCTGATCTTTTATTTCCCTTCTTTTCCCTCTCCCTCCCCTTTTATGAAGATCACCCACTCTGAGACCCCACAGCTAATTCTCCCTGGCCTCCTCGCTGGCCCAAGGAGGACCAATTCAGCCAGCTAGCCCTGGTGACTATCTAATACAGTGGTACCTCGGGGGTTAAGTACTTAATTCGTTCCGGAGGTCCATTCTTAACCTGAAACTGTTCTTAACCTGAGGTACCACTTTAGCTAATGGGGCCTCCTGCTGCCGCCGCGCTGCCGGAGCACAATTTCTGTTCTCATCCTGAAGCAAAGTTCTTAACCTGAAGCACTATTTCTTAGCAGAGTCTGTAACCTGAAGCATATGTAACCCAAGGTACCACTGAACTTATTAGATGGATTTCCCCCATATTGATTTCTGAACTTTGAATTTTATTGTCATTCATGATTTTATACTGTCTTTTATGCTGCGGCTATGTTGTACAGTCATACCTCGGGTTACAGACGCTTCGGGTTGCGCGATTTTGCGTTGTGCACCGCACCAAACCCGGAAGTACCGGAACGGGTTACTTCTGGATTTCGGCGCATGTGCAAAAGCACTAAATCAACCTTTGCGCATGCGCAGAAGTGCCGAATCGCGACCCACACATGCGCAGACGCAGCGCTGGGGGTTGTGAACGCTGTGGGTTGCAAATGTGCGTCCTGCACGGATCATGTTCGCAACCCGAGCATCCACTGTATTGTCATGGAGGAGGGTCAGGATATTAGCTGATATGCATGAAATTTCATATATAGCTATATAATCCATAGTGTAGTAAGATAAGGCCTTTGAAGCAGACATTTTTAAAGAAATTATGAACCACCCTAGTAGGGCAGTAATTGTTCCTTGATAATTTGTCCCCCCTCCATGATGGAAGCTGGGGCGCACCACCCCCCGCCCCCCCTTCCTACGCCCCTGGTCACCAAGGACCCGTTTCTCATCTGCCACACCAAACACACCAATAATAATAATAATAATAATAATAATAATAATAATAATAATAATAAAATTTATATCCCGCCCTCCCCAGCCAAACAGTAAAATGATAAAACATTCTAAAATCATTTCATTATAAAATTAATTCTAATCAAATTAATGGCAACCATTTGGGCTAGAAGTTCTATGAGGATTACCCTAGGAGGGGGTCAGACTGTGCCCTGGCCAAAGGCCTGGTGGAACAGCTCTGTCTTGCAGGCCCTGCGGAAAGATGTCAAGTCCCGCAGGGCCCTAGTCTCTTGTGACAGAGCGTTCCACCAGATCGGGGCCACGGCTGAAAAAGCCCTGGCTCTGGTTGAGGCCAGCCTAACCTCCCTGTGGCCCGGGACCTCCAAGATGTTTTTGTTGGAAGACCGTAAGTTCCTCTGCGGGACATTCCGGGTTTGGCGTGGTGCGCAACCCGAAATCGCGCAACCCGAAGCGTCTGTAACCTGAGGTATGACTGTACAACATAGCCGCAGCATAAAAAACAGTATATATATATATATAAAGCTCCCTCTCCACTCACATGATAAGGCTTCTCTCCCGTGTGGATACGGAGGTGGCTCTTCAGGGTCTGCAGGTGCCGAAATCGAGTCCCGCACGTCCCGCAGGGGTAGGGCTTCTCCCCGGTGTGGATCAGGACATGGGCTCTCAAGTGAGCGACCTGGGAGAAGGAAGGAGGAATGACCGGCGGCTGGACAGCTCTGCTGTTCTGCGATTGCATTACTTCAGCCTCCAGGATAGCGCATTCTTTAACATCGGCAGTCAGGAGTGCTTCAGCCCTGTTTTTGAGTCTGTTTGAAACTTAAAACCTCAATTTCTTAATAGGGCTATGTTTATAATAATATAATAATAATAATTTATTATTTATACCCCGCCCATCTGGCTGGGTTTCCCCAGCCACTCTGGGCAGCTTCCAACAAAACACTAAAATACAATAACCTATTAAACATTAAAAGCTTCCCTAAACAGGGCTGCCTTCCGATGTCTTCTAAAAGTCAGGTAGTTATTTTTCTCTTTGACATCTGGTGGGAGGGAGTTCCACAGGGTGGGCGCCACATAGAATCATAGAATTGGAATAGACCACAAGGGCCATCGAGTCCAACCCCCGAGAAGGCCACCACCAAGAAGGCCCTCTGCCTGGTTCCCTGTAACCTCACTTCTCACAATGAGGGAACCGCCAGAAGGCCCTCGGAGCTGGACCTCAGTGTCCGGGCAGAACAATGGGGGTGGAGACGCTCCTTCAGGTATACTGGGCCGAGGCCATTGAGGGCTTTAAAGGTCAACACCAACACTTTGAATTGTGCTCGGAAACGTACTGGGAGCCAATGTAGGTCTTCCAAGATGGGTGTTATGTGGTCTTGGCGGCCGCTCCCAGTCCCCAGTCTAGCTGCCGCATTCTGGATTAGTTGCAGTTTCCGGGTCACCTTCAAAGGTAGCCCCACATAGAGCGCATTGCAGCAGTGCAAGTGAGAGATAACCAGAGCATGCGCCACTCTGGCGAGACAGTCCACGGGCAGGGAGGGTCTCATCCTGCGTACCAGATGGAGCTGATAGACAGCTGCCCTGGAAAGAGAACTCACCTGCACCTCCATGGACAGCTGTGAGTCCAGAATGACTCCCAGGCTGCGCACCTGGTCCTTCAGGGGCACAGTTGCCCCATTCAGGACCAGGGAGTCCTCCACAAGGAGGGTTTTGCCGCCGCCCCCCCGCCAGGTATCTCCCCCCACTTTTTTGTTTACCTGCACAAAACGAGATCCGCAGGTCTCACACTTGTAGGGCTTCTCCCCGGAGTGAATACGCAGGTGAGTCTTGAGATTCGCCGGGCGGTTGAACTGGGCGCCGCAAATCCCGCAGTGGTACGGCTTCTCTCCTAAGCACAACAGGTAGCAGTGGCACAGGTGAGGCTTCAGGGGCCGGTCACACTGCTCTGAATCCCCCCCCCCGCCCACCAATACAGGACTCCATCTCCCCACTCTGAATAGACTCCTGGATTCACAGTTGGAAGGGACCCCCAGAGGTCATCCATTCCAACCCCCAGCAATGCAGGCATCTCAACTAAAGCATCCCTGACAGATGGCCGTCCAACTTCTGCTTAAAAACCTTCAAGGAAGGAGAGTCCACCACTTTCCAAGGGAGTCCGTTCCCCTGTCGAACAGCTCTTGCTGTCAGAAATTTCTTCCTAATGTTTAGTCAGAATCTCCTTTCTTGAAACTTGAAGCCACGGGTTCGAGTCTTACCCTCCAGAGCAGGAGAAAACAAGCTTGCTTCCTCCTCCATGGGACAGCCCTTCAGATATTTGAAGATGGCTTTCATGTCTCCTCTTCTCCTGGCTAAACATACCCAGTTACTTCAACCATTCCTCATATGGCTTTGTTTCCAGACCCTTGACCATCTTCTTCACCCTCCTCGGCACACCTTACAGCTTGTCAATATCCTTAAATGGTGGTGTCCCAAACTGGACAGTGGACTCCAGGTGGGCTCTAACCAAGGAAGAGAAGAGCGGGACTATTCCTTCCCTTGATCTGGACACTAGACTTCTGCGGATGCAGATTAGAATACCATTAGCTTCTTTTGCTGGGTGTTCCACCAGGCCGGGGCCAGAGCTGCAAAGGCCCTGCCCCTGGGGCTCGGGACTTCCAGAGTGTTGTTATTTACCGTATTTTTCGCCCCATAGGGCACACCAGCCCAAATAATTCCCCCCCCAGCCGACTCCAGCCCCCAGAACAGGCTGCTATCCGCAGCCTAGGGAGCCCGGCGGGAAGTCGTGCCGGGCTCCCAAGGGTTGCGGAGAGCTGCCCGAAGCCTGGAGAGCGAAAGGGGTCAGTGTGCACCGACTCCTCTTGCTCTCCAGGCTTCAGCGAAAGCCTGCATTCGCCCCATAGGACGCACACACATTTCCCCTTCATTTTTGGAGGGGGAAAAGTACGTCCTATAGGGCGAAAAATACGGTAGGTCCTCCGCGGGGCATACGAGGAAAGGCAGTCCTGTAGGTACGAGGGTCGTAGGCCGAATGTACTGCTAGTAAGCCAGGTGTCCCCCATCTTATATTTGTCATTCTGCTTCTTCCTGCCTAAGTACAGAACTTGACATTTGTCCCTGTTGAAGTTTAATTTATTGTTTTGATTATCCATATCGATATATAGATATACAGTCATACCTCGGGTTACAGACGCTTCAGGTTGTGTTTTTTCGGGTTAAGGTAAAGGTACCCCTGCCCGTACGGGCCAGTCGTGTCCGACTCTAGGGTTGTGCGCCCATCTCTCTTAAGAGGCCGGGGACCAGCGCTGTCCGAAGACACTTCCGGGTCACGTGGCCAGCGTGACAAGCTGCATCTGGCGAGCCAGCGCAGCACACGGAAACACCGTTTACCTTCCCTCTATAAAGCGGTCCCTATTTATCTACTTGCACCCGGGGGTGCTTTCGAACTGCTAGGTTGGCAGGCGCTTGGACCGAACGACGGGAGCGCACCCCGCCGCGGGGATTCGAACCGCCGACCTGACGATCGGCAAGTCCTAGGCGCTGAGGTTTTCCCAACAGCGCCACCCGGACCGCCGAAACCTGGAAGTACTGGAACAGGTTACTTCCGGGTTTCGGCAGTTGCGCATGCGCAGAAGCGCTAAATCGCACTTTGCGCATGTGCAGAAACACCGAATCGCAACCCGCACGTGCGCAGACGCGCCGCTGCGGGTTGCGAACACTGCGGGTTGCGGACGTGCCTCCCGCATGGATCACATTCGCAACCCGTCATCCACTGTATAGACATTTGAGTTTTATATGCACCGGCCCGGAGCCCATGTTCTGGATGAAAAACCAACCGGTATGCAGAGTTCTGTGGCTTGCAAGGTTCCCTTTGTAGCGGAAGGCCGAGTTGCAGAAATGGCATTTGTACGGCTTCTCCTCGAAGGCGCTTCCTGAGTCTGGGGGGCTCCTTCCTCCTCCTCCCCCCTCTTCTTCATCTTCCTCCAGGTATCCTAAGTCGCAGGCACTGCAGTCATAAGGGCCAGCCCCTGTGGAGTCACAAGTGTGAGGCGTTTGGGCCTGTCCAGTCTGTGCAAAAACACACTTTCTGCCTCGAAATCCCTTTTTCATAGACTCACGGAATTGCAGAGTTGCAAGAGGTTAGGGTTAGGGGGTCATCTAGTCCAACCCGCTGCAATTCAGGAATATCGTACGGGATTCGAACCCGCAACTTGGTGTTATCAGCACCATGCTCTAACCAACTGACTCATCTATTATTATTATTATTATTATTATTATTATTATTATTACTGTTAAAAAGGTGTTGCGATATGCAACATCGCTCTGGCCAAAAATGTGAAAACGAGGCAAAACGGCGTTCGACCTTGTGCACGTTACGAGAAATTCGCACTAAGATCCTGGTGGGTTTTCACGAGACCCGTTTAGAAAAATAAACAAATTGCAAACTGATGCAGAGATATGGAGACTTATTCATTGATTAAATTTATCAGTCACTAAAGAACAATGGCAAGAGAAGTTGCTGAACTATGCAGAACTGGCAAAAATGCCAGAGAGACGAAGAGAAAAAGGCAACAGAGACTTTGAAAAAGATTGGGAACCACTCATATTATATTATATTTTCAGAAACAAAGAAAGTCAATAGATTTAACAGGATTTAAACAAACATTTACATTATCAACATTAGAAAATGTTTAGGAGATAAGTGAAATATGATGGTGTGTTTGCTTTTATTTTTATGTTTTTAGGTGTTATGTTATTAATAACTTTTAAGTGATAGCAAAGTGGGTGAAAACAGAAACAAACCAGAAGCGGAAGTTGGGGGAAGCACTGGAGGGGAGGGAGGAATATACAGTAAATGTTAAGAATTTGAGATGTATGTAATGAATGAAAAAGAAAAATGAATTAAAAATAAATAAAAATAAAATAAAAACTTATCAGTCACTTTTTTTATAACCAGAGGAACTCAGAGCAACTTACAACGTATAAATGGACAGAGGCATATGTTAGAACCAGCACAGGAGGAAAAATAATAATAATAATAATAATAATAATAATAATAATAATAATAATAATAATAATAATAATAATTTAATACTTATACCCTGCCCAATCTGGCCGGGGCCTCCCCAGCCACTCTGGACAGCTTCCAACAGGATATTAAAAACATGATAAAACATCAAACATTCAAAACTTCCCTAAACAGGGCTGCCTTCAGATGTCTTCTAAAAGTCTGATAGCTGTTTATTTCCTTGACATCTGACGGGAGGGCATTCCACAGGGCGGGCGCCACCACCGAGAAGGCCCTCTGCGATCTCGCTTTGGAAAAAAGCAGGGTTGAAACATCCCACCCATTCAAGGAGGCTACAGATAATTGAAAGCCCAAAACCTGGCAGAAAAGAAATGTCTAATGATGGTGCCAGGGAAGCCTCCCTGAGGACAGCATTCCACAAGCGGGGAGCCACCACCAAAAAGGCCCCATCCTCGTGTTGTGGCCCTCCGGCCCTCGCGATGAGGGGGCACCCGAAGACAGGCACCCGGTGGCGACCACAGGGTCCAGGTTCGGTTCCTACGGGGGCAGATTGGAAAAGAGAGAAACAGTAACCGCCCCTTTCTACTCACCAGAACCACAGGGGTCTCCCTGCCCCATGGAAGCGTCTTCTGGAGGGTGGGAGCAAAGCAGGGGGGCTGGCTGGTTGCAGGCGGAGCAGTGGGGCTGAGAGGAAGGCAGCCTGGGCAAGAGAGGAAGGAAGGAAGGGTCAGAGCCAGGCAGAAAACGTCCTTCCTATCTATAGCCAGTCTTTCACCACAGTAGAAAAAATACAGTCCAAGGAACCGAGAAATTACACAAAACAAATGAAATAGCGTGAAAATCCCTGAAACGAGAGGTACAGTGGTACCTCGGGTTACATACGCTTCAGGTTACATACACTTCAGGTTACAGACTTCGCTAACCCAGAAATAGTGCTTCAGGTTAAGAACTTTGCTTCAGGATGAGAACAGAAATCGCGCCGCTGTGGCAGCAGGAGGCCCATTAGCCAAAGTGGTGCTTCAGGTTAAGAACGGACCTCCGGAATGAATTAAGTACTTAACCCGAGGTACCACTGTAATCGACTAGAAATAAGTCTTTAACATCAGCAGTAACATCTAGACCAAAGGAGCGTTTCAGCCCTGTTCTTGAGTTTGTTTCAAAATCTAAAACAGCTTATCTTGTATTCCTTTCTTTGAATTTGTGCTATCACCTTGCCAACAAAGGTCCATATAGTTCAAACTCTGGTTTTCCCAGTAGTGATGTATGGAAGTGAGAGCTGGACCATAAAGAAGGCTGATCGCCGAAGAATGGATGCTTTTGAATTCTGGTGCAGGAGGAGACTCTTGAGAGTCCCATGGACTGCAAGAAGATCCAACCTCTCCATTCTGAAGGAAATCAGCCCTGAGTGCTCACTGGAAGGACAGATCCCTGCAGCTGTGGCTCCAAGACTTTGGCCACCTCATGAGAAGGGAAGACTCCTTGGAAAAGACCCTGATGCTAGGAAAGATGGAGGGCACAAGGAGAAGGGGACGACGGAGGACGAGATGGTGGGACACTGTTCTCGAAGCTACCAGCATGACTTTGACCAAACTGCAGGAGGCAGTGGAAGACAGGAGGGCCTGGCATGCTCTGGTCCAGGGGGTCACGAAGAGGCGGACACGACTAAACGACTAAACAACAACAACATGTCTAAAACTTGCCATTTAGGTTTTCAAACCCTTTTTGTAAACTCAAGGGAGCATTTCAGCCCTGTTATTGCGTTTGTTTAAAATCATTTAAGGTTTACGATTTCTCGATTTCCTTCTGAGGAAACTGAATAGTCCAGTGAAATGAGATTTGTAGCCGGCATCCCGTTAAGGCTTTGTTCAGTTCTAGGTTTTTCTAATTTTTCCCTTAAACTTTTTGATTTTTGTTATTTAGTTTAATTCTATAAGAAATATTTCTAGTCGATTCCTTCTCGTTTCAGGGATTTTCACAGTCTTTCATCACAGGTCTCACAGCAGGCGCAGCAGCAGGAGGCCCCAGGTTAAGAACAGTTTCAGGTTAAGTATGGACCTCCGGAACAAATTAAGTACTTAACCCGAGGTACCACTGTAATAATTTCTTATTTATACCCCACCCATCTGGCTGGGTTTCCCCAGCCACTCTGGGCGGCTTCCAACAGAACACTAAAATACAATAACCTATTAAACATTAAAAGCTTCCCTAGACAGGGCTGCCTTTAGATGTCTTCTAAAAGTCAGATAGTTGTTTATCTCTTTGACATCTGGTGGGAGGGTGTTCCACAGGCTGGGAGCCACCACCGAGAAGGCCCTCTGCCTGGTTCCCTGTAACTTGGCTTCTCGCAGCGGCGGAACCGTATCTTAAATTTTGGAAATGTACATCCAGTTTTTTTTATCCCTTTAAGTTTTTGGGGGAGCTCCCAAATGAGTGGGGCCCTAAGCTAGAGCTTGTTTAGCTTATACTGCACCCAGCTGACTTCCGCCCGCTGTCCTACGCCCCCAAGAGGAAACTAAACACCATTTTCCCAACATGCAGGCTGCAGTCCATCTGTAAAGCCCCGACTGGCCCCCTGACCTGTGAAGGCGGCTTCTGTCCCTGGGGTCTCCATCCCGGCCGGCCTGGCCGTGCAATTTGGGGGGGTCCGGCCTCCCCTCACGCAGCATGGAGTTGAGGACGATGAAGCGATACTTCTTCCAGTGGCAAGCTTTGGGGTCCGCGCCTGGGGGGGCGCAGCCGCTGGACTCGCGGGGGGAGGCCGGCTGGCCTGGGGGGACTGGTCCCCGGCCCCCGGCGACATCGCAGACCCTAATTCCTTGTCCTTTGGGCAGTAGGGCGCCGGCAGAGGGCAGCTGGAGGCCCCAGCGACGGTGGGGGGTTCTTCTTGGCCCTGCCTTGGGAAACTGGGGGCAAGGGACCCCCCGGCGTCTTCTAGGGGTCTGTGGCGGAGGAAGGTGGGCGCTGGGGGGGTCAGGAAGAAGGTCACCCGGTCGTAGCTGCGTAAGAACATCAGAACAGAAGAAAGTCAGATTCAAATCCACAGACAGAATTCGAACACAGGACCTCTGATTTCCAGCAACTGGGATTATTCAGAAGCATTTGCCGCCCCCAACTGCGACGGCAGAGCTTAGCCGTTCTGGCTAGTTGCCTTCAATAGCTGGCTGCTCCGTGTATCTGCCTGAACCTCTTTTTAAGCCGTCCTGTGGCAGTGAGTTCCACTGGGCTGCGTGGAAAAAATGCTTTGTCTGCCCTGAACCAGAGAAGTGGGATTGGGCTTCTGAATTAAAGAAGCCTTTGTTGTCATCTTCCCAAATTTCCACGGCTGCCATTAAGACGAGGAAGGGCCCTTCTCCAGTCTGCTTCAATAATAATAATAATAATTAAAAAAAAAAATCATTTATACCCCGCCCTCCCCAGCCAAGACCGGGCTCAGGGCGGCTAACACCAAATAAAAACAATTGATTGAAATACAACTTTAAAAACAAGATTAAAATACAACATTAAAACATTAAAATGCAGCCTCATTTCAGTGGAAACTCAATCAAAAACTTTTTGGGGGATAAAAACGTCAAGTCTTCACCAAGGCTAACTATCCAGACTGGTCCTAGCACCTGTTCAGAGCTTATTTCCTTAGGCAAGAGTACCAGATATGTTTTAAGAACAGCGGAGTGCTGATATTTTGACGAATGTCACATCGACTTGCCTCCCACGTTTGATTTCACTGGCCCCTCTCTGGTCCGGCAGCGTCCTGCTCTCAAAGATTCCCACAATGAGAAACCCCCAGGGAGGATTCGAACACAAGACCCCGCTCCCTTCCTGCGTTTTCCATCAACTGGGACTCAGAAGCACTCGCTGCCTCTGATTATGGAGGCAGAGAATAGCCGTTCTGGCTAATAGCCCCCCCCAATAGCCTTTTCAAATTGGTCCAGTCCTTTTTCAAAACCATCCAAGTTGGCCGGCGGTCGCTGCCTCAAGTGGCAGGGAGTTCCGCAGTTCCTCTGCCTGAAAAAGTGCTTCGTTGCGCCTGCCTCGAATCTTCCAACCCGTTTCTCTGTGGTTTGTTCTCTGGCATAGCTGTCAACTTACAGATTTGAAAATAAGGGACCAGCAGCCTCGAAAATAAGGGACCAGCAGCCTCGAAAATAAGGGATCAGCAGCCAAAATAAGGGATTTTCCAAACACAGGTATGTTCAACTTTGAGCCAAAGGCAGAAAGCCCAGCCAGCAGCCAAAGGAAGCCTCAAGCGGTGGTTCCCACAGCGCAGCAACCCGGCAAAGGGGATGCAGCAAGGAAAACCACTGTCCCCTCTCCGCTGGGAAGCGCTGAGCAAAGGCGAGTCCCCGGGCAACGCGGCCGAGTTGATTGGCACAAGGCATGCAAGCTCCACCCCCAGTCGTTCTCAGACTCCTTATTGGGTGAGCAACGCAGCCAAGCAACCCAGTTGGAGCCTCCCTCCTCCCTGGCCGGCAGGGAGGGAGGGAGAGAGAGGAGCTGCTTCCTTTGAAACCCGGGAAATTTAAGGGACATCATCAAAAAGGGACGGCAGGGGGACACGGCGCTGGGAAAAGGGACTTTCCCGCCAAGTAAGAGACGGTTGACAGCTATGTTCTCTGGGGGCACCATTTTTGCCCTCCCCACCCGTGTACCTGGCCTGGATGAAGCGATGGCAACTCTCCACCACGTGCTCCATCTGCAGGTAAGAGGCGGCAGCCAAAACCGCGGGCACCGTGCCCGGCGTGAGGACCAGGCGGGACGTGTACATGAAGTCGAGGAGGGCCTGGAAGCCGGCGGGCTCGATGGAACTGGGCAAGGTGAGCACGCTGACCTCGTGGCCCCCCTGGCCCAGGAAGATGGAGTAGAAAAACCCGCTGCGAAGGACACAGAGAAGGAGGAGAGGGGTCAGGGCAAGAGGACCGCAAGTCCCAGCACGCATCACTCCCGCAGGCGGAGGAGAAGGGACCGCAGTTCCCAGCATGCTCTAGTCGTGGCCACATTCTATGACGGGATGGGGGGCATTCACATAGGGCAAACCATGGTTTCCTTTGGAAGACCATGGTTCTGGAGCACCCTGGTTAGGATTTGTGAAAATAAATTAATAATAATAATAATAATAATAATAATAATAATAATAATAATAATTTTATTATTATTTATACATCACCAGTATGGCTGGGATTCCCCAGCCACTCTGGGCAGCTCCCAACAGAATAATAATAATAATAATAATAATAATAATAATAATAATAATAATTTATTTATACCCCGCCAATCTGGCTGGGTTTCCCCAGCCACTCTGGGCGGCTCCCAACAGAATTAATTATTATTATTATTATTATTATTATTATTATTATTATTATTATTATTATTATTTTATTTGTACCCTGCCCATCTGACCGGGGACTCAGCTACAGTAGTCAACTTACAACGTTATACGTGCGTTATAACTATGTGACACCACTGTTGGAATCCAAAGTCAATGATAATTTCCATTGTGAGCTTCATGGGAGCCTACACAACACAAAACACTGTTGCTGTAGGTAGGTTTTATTTTATTTGTTTTTATCTTATATTTTGGAAATGTACATCCAGCCCCCCCTTTTTAATTTTTTGGGACCCCCCAAGAGAGTTGGGCCCTAAACCATGGGTAGGCAAACTAAGGCCCGGGGGCTGGATTTGGCTCACCTGCAGGCGGTGAGGACGGCTTTGTGGGCCTGCAGGGGGCAGCCCCCCACTCGCAAGGTGACGTCCGTGAGGAAGTGCCTTTTCCGCAGCTCGTTCAGGTTCATCAGGACGTCGCCGGAGTGGCGCGTGAACTCGCGCACGTCGCTCTGGTCGCGTGGCCCAGCCATCGCGCCTGCAGGAGTGGGAAGAGCCTTAGAATCGCGGAGACCACCAAAGGTCATCTAGCCCAACCCGCCGTTGCAGAACTCGAACCCGCAGCCCTGAGATTAAGAGCCTCCCACTCTGCTGGGCAATAGATATAGGACATAATATTATAGAGGGAAGTCGGTTAACACACAAGGGACTCAAACCAGTTTAGAGGAATAGGAAGAATACGATCGTAAAAGGGGAGAAAAGAAAGAGAGACTATGAAGGTAAGGTGTTGCTATGAATTTTGTGTCTAGAATATTTGAACGATGGTTTGTACTCCTTAACAGTGGCGTAGCGTGGGGGGTGCAGGGGGGGCCGGCCGTACCCGGCGCAACATCTGGGGTTAGGGCAAATCCACAGGTTAGGGGGCGCAAATCCACGGGTTAGGGGGCGCAAATCCACGGGTTAGGGGGCGCAAATTACTTGCCTTGCCCCGCGTGCTGACAACCCACGCTACACCACTGCTCCTTAAATAACATTGTGTACTTGACAAGCATTTTTTTTCTTTTTTCTTTCCCTTTTTATATTTCCTTTTATGTATCGTTTTCTTTTTGGTACGTGTGGGTGTAAGGATTAATTTGTTTTCTTTTTTGTAAATTTTTAAATGCAAGAAAGATGATCTATACAAAGAAAAGAAAGAAAAGAAATTAAAAGCATATACAGTTACACCAAAAGCAGGGAAACCTAAAAGATCACGAAAATTAGAGAGAGAGAGAGAGAGAGAGAAATCCACACACACACACACACACACACACAAATTTGAATCTCTGAGAAAAACTTTGGAAGAGTGATTTGAAGTTCATGGCATGTTATTCATTGAAGGAAAACTACCTGAAAATGATTTATAAATGGCATTTAACTCTGAGTAGACTTGCTAAAATGTTTCAAGTCCGGATTGGATAAGTGGTGGGGATGTAATGAGGTTACGTTTTCTCACATGTGGTGGACTTGTAACAGGGTAAAAGAGTATTGGGAAATGATATATAATGAATTGAAAAAAATGTTTAAAAGTACTTTTCCAAAAAAACACCCCACAGAGTCCTCTTTTCTGGGGATAATTCAGAGGGTGTCAACAAAGACTATTTATGTACGCCACTACTGCGGCCTGTGTTTTGTTAGCCCCAAAATGGAAAACGAGCAAGGTCCCAACCAAAGAAGAATGGCAACTTAAACGGACGGAATACGCGCAGCTTGCAGATTTAACATATAGAATAAGAGAACAAGAACAACATACGTTTAGAGAAGATTGGAAAACATTTACTGAATATATGGGTGAAAATTGTGTTCCTTTAAAAATGCTGGTAAAAAGGTAAAGGTAAAGGGACCCCTGACCCTTAGGTCCAGTCGTGGCCGACTGGGGTTGCGGCGCTCATCTCGCTTTATTGGCCGAGGGAGCCGGCGTACAGCTTCTGGGTCATGTGGCCAGCATGACTAAGCCGCTTCTGGCGAACCAGAGCAGCGCACGGAAACGCCGTTTACCTTCCCGCCGGAGTGGTACCTATTTATCTACTTGCACTGGTGTGCTTTCGAACTGCTAGGTTGGCAGGAGCAGGGACTGAGCAACGGGAGCTCACCCCGTCGCAGGAATTTGAACCGCCGACCTTCTGATCGGCAAGTCCTAGGCCCTGTGGTTTAACCCACAGCGCCACCCACGTCCCTAAAAATGCTGGTAGCATTAAGATAAATCTAGCAGTGTAAATAAGTTTTGATGGATGTAACAATGGTTTACTGATAGTTTCGTTCATGTAAAACAGGCAGGGATGTTTGGTATGCAAAATGAACCACGGAAGGAGAAGAAAGGAAGTCTTTGATTTAAGGTTGCTTAAATGGATATTTTGAAATGTAAATTAGAAAATTAGAGAGAGGGGGAATGAACCTCACACTCTGCTGACTGAGCTGCCATGAGCTCGGGTGTCCTGGAGTCATATAGAGAACTGGAGAGTCGGAAGGGGTACCCAGCGGCCATCTAGTCCACCCCCCCCAATGCAAGGATCATAGCTGAAGAATCCCTGACAGATGGCCACCTGAGCTCTGTTTAGAGACATCCATCAAAGGCGAGTCCACCGCACACAGGACAGCCTTCTCATGCCAGGGACTTAACTCAGAGCCGGAGGGGGGAACCCAGGAGTCCTGGCCGCCTGCCGCCTCTTTGATCCATTCATTTATTGAAGAACGCAGAAGTCCTGGCGCCCTGCCTTTTGCGGCCGCTTGCAGCTCCAAGAAGTCACGGGAAACCCCTCCCCGGAGTCCCTAGTTCCCACGATCCCTTGCACCAAATCTGGAGTCCCTAGTTCCCACGATCCAAAGTTCCCTGCACCAAATTTTCTGTTTATATTTAATGCATTTATATCCTGCCTTCTTCCCGAGTCGGGATTCAAGGCACCTGCAAATATTTTGATGGATCAACCGATTGCATTTACCGTAAATCTCGCCTTTTTCTCCAGTTTGCACAAAGGGGCGCGCATGGTTCTTTACCCCCCCCCTCATTTAACCCCCACGACAACCCGGCGAGGCAGGTGAAGCGGAGAGCCAGTGACAGGGAGCTTCACGGCCGAGTGGGGATTCGAACTCAGGTCTCCCCGGTGCGTACGCGCCGTACATTCGAAGCGCATTTCCTTCTCCTCAAGAGAATCTCGGGCGCTGAAGTTGATTAAAGGGTGCTGGGAATTGTAGCTCTGCGAAAGGCTTCAACTTCAGTTCCCAGGGTTCTTAAACCTCAACGGGATTTCAGATTTGCCCACGCACTGTGCGTTCAAAGCCCCTTCAGAGTCCTGGGAACTGTAGCTCTCCAAAGCGCCTTGGAATCATCGCACCCCGAGGGGGAAACTACAATTCCCAAGATTTTGATTTGATTTTTTGAAATCATTTTCATTTGATGTCACAAATATAAATTTATATTGATACAGTGGTACCTCGGGTTGCATACGCTTCAGGTTACAGGCGCTTCAGGTTACAGACTCTGCTAACCCAGAAATAGTGCTTCAGGTTAAGAACTTTGCTTCAGGATGAAAACAGAAATTGTGCTCCGGCGGCGCAGCGGCAGCAGGAGACCCCATTAGCTAAAGTGGTGCTTCAGGTTAAGAACAGTTTCAGGTTAAGAACGGACCTCCGGAACGAATTAAGTACTTAACCCGAGGTACCACTGTATACCAAATACATTTTTTATTTTTAATGGAGTGCGCTTTACCTGCACGATGCTGCGTAGATGCCAGTTCTGAGCCTTTGCGGGAGAAAAGCGCAAGGCGAGCGCATGAGACCCTGGAAACCGAGACCACCCCTTCCCCCCCACCAAACTACCCCAGGAGGTCCCTTTTCCTCCCAGCCCGCTCCTAAGAACCTAAGAAGACCCTGGACTCATCCAGCCCCCCCCTCTTTTCCCGGTGGGCCAAGCTGGTACCCACGATGGAGAAACCCGCAACAAGGACCCGCGCGCACGACAAACTCTCCGCGCAGCTATCATCCAGACGCATTTACTGCCTTCGACAGGGGACGGCGCAGATCATAGCCCTCTTGGCTAGTCGTAGTGGCCACGGGTAGCCTCTCCTTCACCCCTTGAACCCCGTTCCCCTCCCCCAAGGGGAAAAAAACCCACCTGCCCTTCACCCCTTTTGCGCGTCCTTGGGAACGCCTGGTTTTGAGCAGCGCTTACCGCCCTGTCCCGCAGGGTCTTTCTTGGATCCGCCTGCAAGGTGCTGTCCCCGCCCGCTTCAGGTGGGGAGGGGGCCAGAAAGCCAGCTGAACCCCCTTTCACCCCCCCTGAAGCCGCGGCGCCCCGAGAACCAGCCTCAGAGGACGGCCGGGCCGGGATGGCCTTTTTATAACGTCGGAGAGGAAACGGTGTTAAGTCACACATCCTTCCTTTCCAAAGTTTGGCTCAGCTGTACTGGGAAGCAGAGAGAGGTGTGTCTGTGTGTGTGTTTTTTTGGGGGGGCAGGAGTGGGTGTATTTAGCGCTTTCAGGAAAAAGGGGGCGCGCGCTTACAACTCAGGGAAACTGCTCCGCGTCTTAGCGCACAACCCCAAAGATGGAAGCATGACCCCCCCAAAAAACCCCTGGCTGCCTTCTTCCAGTTCCCCAAATCTTGATATCTTGCCAAACGCACTGGGTGGGTTGGGGGGGGTCCCTGCTTCAAAGCCCCCTCCCCGACCCCTAAGGCTTTTTCTAGACTTTGCTTCACGCTTCCTTACATTGTGAGATTTCTCGCAAGCAGAGGGCGCGCGTTGGAGGGGTTTATAAGGTTTTGTTCTTTTTTTGTTTGGGGGGTGGGCCAAGGCCGGAGAGAGGAAGCACCTGTTTGCATGAGACCATTTCCTCCCCTCTTCCTGCCCCCCCCCAGCTTTTCCTGAGTTTTTGGTCCCGCGTTCCAACGGAGTCAAAGGACGGCGGGAAGAGTGCGGCGGCGGCGGTCCCCAGTTCCCCAGTGGAATATTCGAAGCCGCAACAGAGGCAGAGTGCCTCTGAGCATGTGCCGAGGGCATTTGTCTCTCCCCTCCACCCACAAAGCTGGGAATGGAAAGGGGCGCTGCATGGAGATTGTGGACGGAGAAAAAGTCGATTTCCCCTTCTCTCCTAACTCCGGTGAGTGTTGGAAGATTTGGGACAGCGGGGAAAGGAGGACTTCTTCCCGCGGCGCACGGTTAATCTGCGGAACTCCCCGCCACAGGAAAAAGTGATGGCCGCCAATTTAGACCGCTACTAGCCAAGCCATGGCTATGCGCTGTCTCCACAGGAGGGCAGAGTTTTTTTCTGGCGCCTGCCCCAGTCGTTTTTGCAAAACCCGGAGGCTTCCTTCCTCTGACGCCAGGCTCAAACAGAGGAGCTGGCCTCATCCTGCGTCTCTTCCTTTACTACAAGATATTGGACAGCAGGTGTCTGCCTCGCGTGGACTCCTAACCTCTTGCCTTCAAATTCCTGAACCATAAATTTCAGTTTCACTGGGGTGATTATGTGGAGGAGTCTGCACTACTTGCTCAATGAAGGCGATGAGAGCACTCTGTGTATGTGTGGGAATAATAATAAAAAATAAAATAAAAATATAATAATAATAATAATAATAATAATAATAATAATAATAATAATAATAATAATAATAATAATTTAATATTTATACCCCGCCCAACTGGCTGGGCCCCCCCAGCCACTCTGGGCGGCTTCCAACAAAATATTAAAATACAGTCATGCATCAAACATTAAAAGCTTCCCTGAACAGGGCTGCCTTCAGATGTCTTCTAAAAGTCTGGTAGTTGCTTATTTCCTTGACATCTGATGGGGGGCGTTCCACAGGGCGGGCACCACCACCGAGAAGGCCCTCTGCCTGGTTCCCATGTAAGCTCCCTTCTTGCAGGGAACTGCCAAAAGGCCCTCGGAGTTGGACCTCAGTGTCTGGGCAGAACGATGGGGGTGGAGACGCTCCTTCAGGTCTACTGGGCCTCTGAGGCCGTTTAGGGCTTTCAAGGTCAGCACCAACACTTTGAATTGTGCTCGGAAACGTACTGGGAGCCAATGTAGGTCTTTCAAGACTGGTGTTATGTGGTCCCGACGGCCGCTCCCAGTCCCCAGTCTGGCTGCCACATTCTGGATTAGTTGTAGTTTCCGGGTCACCTTCAAAGGTAGCCCCATGTAGAGCACATTGCAGTAGTCCAAGTAGGAGATAACCAGAGCATGTGCCACTCTGGCGAGGCAGTCTGCAGGCAGGGAGGGTCTCATCCTGCGTACCAGAAGGAGGTGGCAGAAGGAGCTGGACACAGAACTGACCTGCGTCTCCATGGACAGCGGTGAGTTCAAAATGACTCCCAGGCTGTGCACCTGGTCCTTCAGGGGCACAGCTGCCCCATTCAGGACCAGGGAGTCCTCCACACCTGCCCGCCCCCTGTCCCCCCAAAACAATCCCCCCTCAATCCGTTAGCCGCCATCCATCCTCCAACCGCCTCCAGGCACTCACACAGGACCTTCACCGCCATCAGAACCAGTGAAGGAGCTGGGTATCATCCACATATTGATGGACACCCAGCCCAAACACCCTTCCTTCCTTGTAACCTCTGCTCTTCTTCTGTTCCAGTTCTTCCAAACAGCAGGTGAGATAGCATGGACCATGGGTAGGCAAACTAAGGCCCGGGGGCCGGATCCGGCCCAATCACCTTCTAAATCCGGCCTGCAGACGGTCCAGGAATCAGGGTGAGTAGAATGTGTCTTTTTATTTAAAATGCATCTCTGGGTTATTTGTGGGGCATAGGAATTCGTTCATTTTTTATTTTTTATTTTTCAAAATATAGTCTGGCCCCCCACAAGGTCTGAGGGACAGTGGACCGGCCCCTGTCTGGACTGTTATATAGCAGGAGGGTGGTTCTCATGCGCTGAAAACTGGCCTGTTATAAAATCACGGAACCCCAGTTTGATGGGGACACCAAAAGGTCCTCTAGCTCAACCCACTGCAGTGTCAGGGAGCGGACTCGGTTTCACCCTCGTTGCTGACAGACTAGCTTTCTAGGTGAGAGCATATTGTGCAGAAGAGCATTCAGTGATTGCAATGTGAAGAGCCAGCTGTCTGGAAGTATAAGGCCTCTGTTGGACATTGGTCGGTTGGAAATCCCAATATAGGTCATGGAAAATGGGGTAACTATTTCTTGTGGCAGACAGGTCTTCCTTGAGCTAGCCGTCCTGGCCAGCAGCCAGCAGTAGCCCTCTCCTCTGCCATGAATCTGTCCGATCCTCTTGTACAGTAAAGCCATCCAAGCTGGTCATCACTGTGGCAGGGAGTTCCATAGGTCAACTATTTGCTAACCATAGTTTACCTACCAGATGTGCTCAACCTAGTTCACCTACCAGTTTAGCTATGTGCTCACCATGGTCTATCTGCCGAAAACTTGTCATCACCAAGTATTACCCCAGAGAGAAGTGAATTCCATAACTGGGGTGCCAACACCAATAAGGCCCTGCCATCTGCCACAGACTGAGTTATCCTCACACTTGGTCCTCCTCCTACATTGTGTCGGGAAAACATGCCGCTGGAGAGACTTGGCCATGCTGAAATGGGCATGCTGGATCCCAGAGGTGGCTTGAGACGAGTGCGAATTCTGCACGGTTCCAGAGGCGCCCTTTAAAGTTCTCTTCCAAACTTTGCCTTTTGCAGCGCAGGATTTCTTCCCAATGCCATCCCCTCCTGAAGCTCTCTTTCATTCTTTCTCCCCCACAAGAGAGTCAGCCAGGTGTAGCGGTTAGAAGGGGTCAGCAAACCTTTTCCAGCAGGGGGCCGGCCCACTGTCCCTCAGACCTTGTGGGGGGCCAGACTATATTTTGAAAAATAAAATAAAAAATGAACTAATTACTATGCCTCACAAATAACCCAGAGATGGATTTTAAATAAAAGGACACATTCTAATCATGTAAAAACACACTGATTCCCGGACGGTCTGCGGGCCAGATTTAGAAAGCGATTGAGCCAGATCCAGCCCCCGGGCCTAAGTTTGCCTACCCATGGTAGAGGGCTGGCCTGGGACCTGGGTTCGAATTCTGCCTTGGCTACCATCTCTCAGCAGGCCTACCACACGAGGATATCAGGGACGAGGGAAGAAAGCCATGCACACCCCCTTTCCGCTCGTTGTTTGGATCTAAACGAAATGAGCAAATAAACGGCCCTCTATCGAGAGCCAGTGTGTCGCAGTGGTTAGAGCACTGGAGTCGGGTTCGAATTCCCCCTCTCGACCTATGAGGCTGATTGGCATTAGGGCCAGTCCCTGCTTCTCTCAGCCTCATCTACTTCGCAGGGCTGAGATGAAATAAATGGGAAGCTTTTGGGTGGTGCTGTGGGCGGGGTGTCTGGAAAACCTAGGTAAAGGTAAAGGTAAAGGGACCCCTGACCATTAGGTCCAGTTGTGGCCGACTCTGGGGTTGCGGCGCTCATCTTGCTTTACTGGCCGAGGGAGCCGGCGTACAGCTTCCGGCTCATGTGGCCAGCATGAGTAAGCCGCTTCTGGCGAACCAGAGCAGCGCACGGAAACGCTGTTTACCTTCCCGCCAGAGCGGTACCTATTTATCTACTTGCACTCTGACGTGCTTTCAAACTGCTAGGTTGGCAGGAGCAGGGACCGAGCAATGGGAGCTCACCCCGTCGCGGGGATTCGAACCGCCGACCTTCTGATTGGCAAGTCCTAGGCGCTGTGGTTTAACCCACAGCGCCACCCGCATCCCACCTGTGGGCGGGGTGTCTGGAAAACCTGCGAAGGCAGAATCGAGGTCCTGGGGGCAGATGGGTAGTTTGGGGAGACTTGGTGAGCTGTTGGAAGAAGTTCCCAGGTCCGAAATAGCAAAAGGACTCTGAGACGCTCCTGCCAATTCGTATTATATTTAGATTTCGGATTTCACAGAACGCTGCAGCGGTCAGCGGGGGGGGGGGGGGCGTGCCCAGCCTTAAAAATAGACGCTTGCTTGCCTCGGGCGGAAGAAGATTGTGGACAGGCCTCGGTCCAGACCGCCAGAGTGCCAATGTGGCAGTCGGCTGGAGAACCACCCTTTCTTTGCCAGATGCTGTTTTTCCTGATCTATAGCCTTCTCTCCACCCCTCACCCCCCCTCCAAGGCTTCTTTGGCCTGGCACAAAGGACCGACCTGCGCTCTAACCACTGCACCACCCCACCATTCCCTCCCCGACTCATCCCACACACAGAGCTGGGGCAATATTTGCTCTTTCTGGCTCTCTATTAAAGCGTTTGAGTGGCGGCCAAGATTGATAAAGAGGGCCCTATAAGGTTGGGAGTGTGCCAGGGCGAACGAGACAGTGATTCACGTCCGTTTCCCTTTGGGGGGGGGTATATGTGAGCTCGCTCGGCAGGTCAAATCCCCGCCTCCTTCCTCGGAAGCCTCTCCCGATCACCTTCAGGCGTATAGATAAACGTGAATCGTAGACCTGCAAATTGGGAGGGGCACCCAGCGGTCATCCAGTCCAGCCCCGCTGCAAGGCAGGAATCGGAGCTCAAAAAATCCCTGGCAGGCGGCCTTGAGAAACCTCCAAGGAAGGAGAGCTCATCACGAGGGAGTCCATTCCGCTATCAAACGGATCTTACCACCAGGAATTCCTAGGGTCTTTTGCACTCTGCGCATGCCCTGGTTTCTTTATACCTAGTTCCGGCGTCTAAATGCTAAGTTCTGGCGTTAGAAGCAGGAAAATACGTTCTGGGGACCTTCCTTGGCTAGCTAAGACACTCTTTTCCCAACCTGGTGCCGTCCAGATGTTTTGGACTACAACTCCCATCAGCCCATGGGAAGGGACCCCCAGGGTCATCTAGTCCAACCCGCTTCGATGCAGGAATCCTGCCCCCCCCGTCACCCCTGGGTGGGCTCGAATCACCAACCTTCTGGCGCACTGACCCAATGCGCCACCTATGCTGCAGGAATGAGATCACCAATTTCATCCATGGCAAAAAACCACCAAAACCACCAAGGATCGGGGTTCAGGTCTCGACTCTGCCATGAAATATATCAGGCAGCCTGACCTACCTCACAGGGTTGTTGTTCTAAAGTTAATGGGGACCCCACACATCGCCCCTCAAGGTGAAAAATGTAATAGGGGAAAGTGTCGACTCT